CTATGTTATGGAAAAAAAGATAAAAATAGATAGTAACTTTGCTTTCATAGAGTCCTGTGGGTACAAATTCCACAAAGTAGAAGTAAGTAGCTCCATATATTGCATTAGTTTATATTATGGAAATAATGCCATGCTCAACTCAAAATCACTTTAATCCAAGTTGGACCAGCCAACTCAGGAGAAATCATCAGCAGAAAGCCACACCTGATGAATTTGGGTTTTTTGACTTCTAACTTTGTCTTTGGCTAGAAAAGAAGCGTTTCTTACTTTGCTGTACCAAAAGCACACTTTTCTTGAGGGAAAAGTACAGAAAAGACAGAGCATTTTGGTTTCCCTGTGAAGCAACCTCAGGAAGATCTGCTGGGGTGAACCCACAGACCTCCAGGTGTGGGAAGAAATGGGTGAAAGGAAAAGAGAAGGTGTTTTGAATGTCTTCCTTCAAGGATACTAAGGTATCATCGCAATATTCTTCAAAATCACTCAGAACTGAGCTAGATGGACTACGAAAACGTTACGAAAGCCATTTTGATCCTCCCTTTCTCTTAGTTGTTCTTTGGCCATGATCAATACTCACAATTTTGTTTTGATGGGGCTTGGGATCGATGCAGTTTAACTCTGACAATAAACTCCATCCATTTATTTATTTATAGTAAAATAGTACACACATGCATTTATAGCATACCTGCCTATCTTAGCATCTAACAGTGCTTGTGTAACCCTCCCCAGGCGGACCAGTAAGGTACGTTGTACAGCCTGGCACACAGTGGGGACAGAGGAAGGTGGAGTGACATGTTTACAGACACCTTGTCACTCAGTAGTGGAAAAAGAAATGTGCAAATGTAATTCTGGTCAGAATTTTAAACCATGAAAACTAACTACTTTTTGTACTTAGACTACTGACCTGAGGGCAGTAAGGGACTACTCTTGCAGCTGATACCAGATCCTGCTCTCTTTATAACTCAGCTGGTTATTTCTAGCTGTCCATGTAATCGGGATGGGTTAATACCGCAGGCAGCAAGTAGGTATATACAACCCGTCCCGAAAAAAGAAGGGATATAAACCACACCTGCTTAAAAGTCATCTGATTTCTTTTCAAATATTCTTTACAAAAAATGCCAGTTCTGCACATGGTTTTCTGAGGTACCTATGCCAACACTTAACATAAAAGACTCTGTGGATCAGGACTTTAGCCTGTTCTTGCAATTTTCTGACACTGTCCCTCAAGAGAGAACAAATATATCAGGTGTCCTACTTGAAAGTCAACAACTTGACACCACTGCATCTTGTGCTGCTCCTTATGGTGATGGACAACTAAGAATGGCTTAAAAATACAAAGCAAACAGCAAGAGTAAGTGGTTTCAAAATCAATACAAGAACGATCAAGTAGCAGAAGAGTACTTGTTATCTGTTCATCAAAATGATGTGAAACGACATTCTGTGCATTCAGAATTTAATTTAGCTACTTGCTTTATCATCATAAACACTCATTTCAATATGGGCAATGATTATTTTTTCTTCCCAAACATGAATAATATATATTTGCTGGTATTTTGGAGGAGACAAGGTCTTTACCTTTAGCCATCAGGGTAATTTATCATTGTCTTACTTTTTCTTCTGCAGTGGTGAGAGAGCTTGTCAGCTCAGCTTGTTCTTAAAAAGCTGGAGTGTAATTCAATAATAAATTCACTCAAAGGCTAGCTGTCACGAGGCATTCATTTATTTGTATCCATTAGGTTATCTGCACTGCTGTTCTCTCTAAAGGGTAGCTAAGCTGCGTTTCTGAAGCCCAGGAAATATATTGCATAGGTATTCAGTCATCTCCTTCACGCTGCTGCCACTCCTGCACAGGCCATACAGGAATGCAAACGTGCTGTGGTTCCCCCAGGGGCGATCATCAGCCAGCCATGACCTGGTAAAGCCCAGAGGAGCAGGCTGTGGTTCCCGACCTGGATGATGAGTGTGCCTGTGCCACAGCTGTCTCTGCAGGACATCAGACACGCAGGACACAGAGGTCCACGTCGCCTCTGCGTTGCCAGCTCATGGGGGACTGCTCACAGTAAGTGCCATGGATCCAACTCCAATCCTGCCCTATGAGGGTGATGGTGCTGGGACAGAAAGATATAGGACGTTCCATGCCCAGCAATCTACAGTCCTGGTCTACATCGAGAAGGAGATGGCTTCACAAATCACAGCAGCAGCAATGGTAGAGGGTTGTCCTAAGGCAGGATGCTGAAGCCCTCCATCACAACAAAAAGATTTCCTGCCCTCCCTCCTATGGGACAAGCTATTAAGCCATCAGCTGGAAGGAGAGATGAAAATGGTTCATCTTGCCCCCACGTGATGCTGTGATCTTCATGGAGACACTGAGCAGTTCCATGAGTAAGAGGGATATTATCACCTGTCTGTTGTAAAAGCAACTGGAGGAGATTCAACGGTGAGAACACTACTGAAGAAAGGGTATATCCACACATGCAAATACAGTCAATCTTATTTGCCCAGACTAATTGGGCACCAGACGGTCCCAGCCCATGCTTCTCCATGGAGCAGTCACTGTCTGAGCCCTGCTGAAGCACTGCCACTTGCAGGGTGACAAGAGACGGATGTTTAAAGGTTCAGCTTTCTAGGTGGTAAAAACAGACAACGGAAACTACAAAGAGAAGCCAAGTAAGCAGAAAACAATTGCAATGGTTGAGTTTATCCAGATCTATAGGATCTTTAAAAACTAACCAGAACACATGATGTCTTTTAAGATCCCAAAAGACTAATGGCATTTTTAGCAACCCAGAAGACTGATAAGCCTGGACTTCGGTGCTGTCTCAGCAGAAAATATACCTTCTGTTGAGGTCCTTCACTGTTATTTGCAACTACTCTTGTGATGAGTCAAGATATTTAATTTGAGACATGCAATACAATCACAGCTTGAGGTGACATATCTGTAGACCATATTTAGGGATACACACCCTATGCTGACATTTTAAGAATGGCAACCTCATAAATCATCACTCTCTCTGTATAATTCTTTGTGTTAACTTAAATGGAACAAGGAGCCCCATTTATTAGTTCCATTGCAGTTAATGAAAAGCAATCATTAAAACCCTTCCTATTGATTTGAATCTTTGCATTCCCTCACTCTAGTAATCTATGTGCCAGCTAAACATTTCTGCTAGCAGGTGCTCCTATTGAATCCTGAATCTTTCTTTAGCAGGATGTCTACAGATGGTTAGTAATTCCTTCCTACATAGAGATCTATCATCAGATCTATGAAAGGTATGTAACTCCTGTAGGAGTTTATGTCACCCTAAATGACAGAGTCTTTCTGCTGGTCCTCTGCTGGCACTCCCAGAAGCAAATTCACTGTCTAAATGAGAAATTCCCATTATTTTCTTCCACCTCTGTGTGCTGCTGGATGCAAGCAGCCTTTAAAGATAACTTGCAATTTTTTAAAATTACACATGTATGAAGACTCCTATAGTTCCTTACTTGCATGGAAAAGTTCATTAAACACAGACATGTGTCTACCAAAACTCTCTACCCATCAGAACAGATACACATGGACCTGATACCAGAGTCCTCTGTGGAAAGGCTTCTGACTGCGAGCTCAGCTGAGGAATTGCAACCCTAAATATATCAGAAAAAATAAAATTGTGATGATAAACTATTTTATATTCCGAAGCCTGATTTTACAGCAACAAATCACAACACCTGACAGCAAAGAATTCACTGTGCTAACATTTAGTCCAGAGTCTGGACTGCTAAGTATCCAGAACCTGCAATCTTCAGAATGCTGATGAAGTACAACAGTTTGCAACATAATGAGTGTTTGGCCTTAATCTGAATCACTGCTGTCAGCTTTCTCGGACTCTGAAGGGCTTGGCAGCAAGACAAATCAGGGAAACTATCACATCAGGCCAACTCCCTGACACTGGCATGCTTCTAAGCGGTTCGTATCTGAGGTCAGCCTGTAGACCATCAGAGGTGGCGATATATGGGAGGTGGTACCCAAGGGATGATGGCAATGTCCCATCATGGAAGGGCACTGGGTCAGACCCAGAAGGGCCTGAGAGGACTGCTGAGATGCAAGTGCTGAAACAAATACCTGCACAAACATGAGAGCTGTATATTTTCAGTGCCAACCTATTCACTGCTGTGTGTGGGAAAGCTGAAAGTAAGCAGTTAATGACTGGGTGGAATTCAACAGAGTCCAAACCTAGTTGTTGAGAACCACCTCCTGGCTCAGGGTCACCACTTCTGAAAGTCAACATTCAGGGCAGATGCTGAATGATCTAAGAATCTGACACCCCAGGGTATGTATTATGGTGTCCTGCTATAAGCACATGATTTTAATGGGATGACCTCCCCTGACAGCCAGGTGTGTACTTAAACAAATGGCTGAGATGCAATCACAGAAGTGAACTGTGTAAGATTTCTTTGCCAGTTCCTGTTTCTTGATGATGATGGCAGTGATAAAGAATGTCTCAGTATTAAAACAAGTCTATATTCAAGCTGATTGTTTATATTGAAAATCACTCCAATAGCCCTCCCTAGACTTTCAGATTTTCTTCAGTTCTTCTGAGGTCTCTGATAGTCACACTATGGACTGTAAATACCATTCCAGTTTCCCTTTCTTTTGGCTCTGTCGGTGGAAGAAGGTCTGCCATTGATGTTTACGAGATACTTCTGGAAAATGTCAGTCATTTGAATTAGAAGACCCCTGCTGAA